TTTCGAATAAAAAAAGTGTATATGGTTGGTATCACAAAGTGCCAAAGATAATTATTTATTAATATGCAGAGAGAGAGAGAAAGACAGAACAGATGGAGACAAGAGAGATTAATTCACATACAACACTAAATTGCAATGTGTATGATTTGGGTTTAATACTTTGTATTCAAGAAGCCACTGATTAATCCATGTGAAAATCCAATGCAACTAAATTCTTGAACTTCTCTATCAACTCCCAATTCTTGTGCACTGCAATTCTTTTCCTTCAACAAGAACTTGTTACTAGAGACAAAACTTATAAAAGTTATCTGTATGTTGTCTACAAACCTGAACTGCAGATTTGTTTTAATTCTGTAGTTTTAGTCTAGCGCCAGCAGAGCATTGTCTGAAACGAAATACGGTAATTGAAAGAATGAGAAAAATAGGTTTGAGACATTATAACAACGGCTAAATAGATTTGTTTGACACATCTGAATTCCTCAAATTCCTCAGTATGTTCTTATCCTAAGCATAGTTAGTGTTTATGAAGACTACTATTACTAATAAACAGGGCTTTTTTTCTCATAGAATGCCCAGAACGGAGTTCCGGCACCTTTTTTGGATGGAACCTTGTAGGGTAGGCAAGGCGGGTTGTATGACGTGTGTGAGTTCCGCACCTTTTTTTTTTTTTTAAAGAAAAAAAGCACTGCTAATAACAGTACAATGGGTTTCCAGATAGGCCAGAAAGATTTGAAAGAAATCTTTGAAAGGATTATTGCCATGACGTAACACAAATTTATTAACCATCTTACGACATGGAATTACAGAATTTGAGAATCTTTGGTTTAAATAAAAACGATTTATAAGTAGTCCTCATTTAGCAACCATTTGCAGTTACAACACTGATGAAAAAGTAACTTTGCAGCTAATCGTATTTATGACCTTTTCAGATCTGTAAAACAAAGGAAAGCTGAAATAAGGTCATAAGCACAGTCACATTTTCAGTTAGTACCCACTTTGCTTAAGAACGAAGTTGCCAGGCCCAACTGTGATTACGAAATGGGGACTTTTTTTCTCATTCAATCCATCCAATTCTTGGAGACTGCCTGGACCAATCTCTGCAGTTTTCTTGGCAAGGTTCCTTCCTAGGGCTGAGACAAAGGGACTGGCCCAAGGTCACCAAACTAGTTTTGTGCCTAAGGCTGGGTTTTAGCTTGATGTCTTAATCACTATTTATTTAGTGTATGGTATGGACTAGCAATATATATTAACATTTCATCTAGTTTAATAAAACAATAAAATATAAATGTTAAAAAGATCTGTATTCAAATACCAGTGTCTACACCATGTAATCACCGGAGCACAGCATCATTTATATTTTAAAAAATCAGATACTGAATCGGTATATGCTCTCAGCTTACAGCCAGTCACAATGTGATCTACAGTTTGACGTAGGACCCCCCAGTGACACTGAGGGGAGGATACTAAGCCCCATTTATATAGAGAGCCCTGGCAGACGCCCTGTGAGGTGTGAATCCTATTCAGGATTGCCCATTGCTGCAAGCAACCAAGCTCAGAGAGCACCAAGGATTCCACAATTAAAATTCCTGGCTTGGCATTATCTACTACCTCAACCATTATTGCTACTTGGAATATTTTACTATATAACCTTGCTCTGAAATCTTACAGTAGTTGGTTTTAAGGAACTCCAAATAATTTAAAAATCCAAAATAAAACTTACCTGATTTAGGATCTAGTTGAAGATAAAGACGTTGAAATGCTATGTATAATAGAGATTTGGCTGAATGAACTGGGACAGTTGGCCTCTCCCAGCTGTGCTCACTTGAGTACCTTGTTCATCACCAGCACAAACTTGAAGCCGAGAGAAGGGAAGCTCCTGTGGTCCATTGGGATTCCATCTCCCTCTCCATGTTCCCTGTCCAGTTGAGTATCAATACTGACTTTGCAGAAGTAATCAGGACAGATGGGGGATTCTGTTGGAGTCTGCCATGCTGCCAATTAGTCTCCCTCCCTGAACTGACAAGAGCAAAATACCGTGTTTTCCCGAAGCCATAAAATAAGACCTAGCTTATTTTTGGGGGTTCTGGCTAATATAAGCCCCACCCCCAAAAGTAAATCCTACTTAACCCTGCCCACTCCGTCCCACCGTATTTTTTTTTTTTGGCAGGCCAGATCATATGCCTCCCCCCGTCTTACCTGCTGCTGGTGCCACCGCTGCGAGTTCAATTTTGTGGCTCAGCTAAACTGTTCAGCTGTGATGGGCTGCAGTTCCCATCTGCTTCAGGAAGCCTGGGCGGTGGTGTGGCAAGCTCTCCAGCTCCACGGGGAAGGGGCAGCCAGCATGGGTGCTGACGGCAGGATGCCCGCCCGCTTCACCACCCTCCCTCCCTGAGCCTCCGGCACTCCACCTGTCACTTTGGTCGGCCTGGACGCCCCCACCTCAGCATCCTTCCCACTGCCGCCCAGCATGGCTGCCCTGGGGCTGCAGGGGCTGGCCTGGCATGGGAAGGGCATGCGCCCCGCCCATACCGGTACCATACCTGGTCCGCCAGATTCTTACCGTCGTGTTGCTTCTCCACTCCATGCACAGGCCCTGCTCCGCTCCACACCTACCCCACATGCTCACGGCCTACTGGTACTGACAAAAAGTAAGCCCTCCCCCAAAGTAAATCCCAGTGCTTACTTCAGAGCCCATAAGAAAGTAAGATCAGGTTTTACTTTTGGAGAAACACGGTAGTATGTAGGAATGATCTTGGGAGACAGGGCAAAGAGACTTCGCCAACGGAATGGTCAGATAAAAGACAGCTGAGCCCAAAGCAAGAGTCCCTCCATAGTTTGGGGGCTATAAGGGGGCTGGGAGCAGGGAGAAAGAAGTACTTTTAGACTTGCAAGTTTCTTTAACATAGCTTTACAATAAAGTAGAATTAGCTCCTTTGGTTGTGTTCCCAATCTGGTGTACCTCATAAAGCTGACAATCTTTCAAGTCTCCTTTTCCCAAAAAGAGGAATTTTAGGAATGGCCTTTCCTCCAGGGGGTTCTGCAATCTGCCAAGCATCCAGCGGCAGCACAGATGATCAACTTGCAGAATGCCATGCTACAATTAACACAACAGCTGGGGCAGAATTTGCCTCAATTTGCAGCAGTACAATTTGTGGCTCAGCCAACGTTCCTGCATTCCTATGGGAGCTTGCTGGAGAAATTCAGAGTGGGCCAGGAATAATTCTGGACATTCACTGTCAATGTATTGTTTATGGGAGGCAAGCTAGTGGAGTTTTCTATTGAATGCACCAAAGTGACGTCTGCTAAGTTTGCTGAAGGAAGCAGCAGCTAAGAGGGCCATACTGTTCAAACTGTACTTTAATTTTATCAAACATCATCATGTTGCTGCCTAGTTTAGATACTGTTTTTATTTTATATCTTATTGGATTTTATCTATATATTTTTATTCGAATTTTATTTTCAGTGTGCTTTATTGCAAACCACCCAGAGAGTTTCAGCTACTGGACAGTTTACAAAATAGAAATACATAAATAAGCTCTGTTTCTTCCTCTTTCCTGGTGATCATGCTTGAAATAACTGGGAAGACAGACAAGTATCACTAGGGGTTGTAGAATGACAGATATTGAACAGCAAGCATGCCAGAGAAGCATATGGAAACTTTGCAAAATAATTACAATAATTAAGAAAAAGGGATTATTAAAATATATTATTGATCTAGACTAGAGAATATTGTAAGATTCCTGTTTGATGAAAATTGGGAAATGCATATTTTTATGTAGTTAAATCACCAACTACCGTACGAGAGGTAACTAGACCCTATTAGCGGAAGACAGATCGGAACTAATTGATATATACAGTATTGGATTTCTACAGTCGTTCTTTAATTCATTTACAAATAAGTCCACTAATGCTTAAAAAGAGGCTATTGCTTATCCACAGGATTCTATAGATATTCAGGAATATGTGTGGGTGAATGTCAAACATGTATTTGGCTTCCCTTCCATTTTACATATTACATGCATTCTGTGCAATGTAAAATTCAACAAACTGGCACCTACTTGGTCTTGAGAGCAAAAGAGGACAACTCATAGACTTTCATTATGAAACAAAGCCCTCTCAGAAGCAATAAAACAACTCCTAAAGGTAGTATTTCCTGGGACAGCAAGCGAAAAGGTGAAAACAAGGACACTGTCTAAACATTCTCTCTTATTGGATTAATACTGCTCTACATTTGACCTGCTTGTTAACCTATAACGCTATTATACATACAAATGAAATCTCTATTACATAGTCCCAGGGTGCCTTTCTGCAGCAAAGTCATGCAGGGTCACACAGCAAACATTCTTCATCGTATCTGCACAATATTAACACTATTAGTTCAATATTTCTTAGAGACCTGCTCCGTAGATCTGGTGCCAATGATACCCATTTACCGCATAAGGGAAGATTGTTATCCCCAGTAGGTCACAAACCTGAAAGGCCTGCCCTCTTCCACTCCACACATACACCCACACCCCATCTCCTCAGCCAAACAACATTGATTTTGTTTTGACTGCTGTTGAACCTATTTGCAAGAAGTGCAAAAACAGTCCTGTGCTTCAGAATCTTGACGTGAAAACCTCGTCTGGTTTCAGGTAGTCCTAGACCAGGGGTAGGCAACCTTGGCCTCTTTTATGACTCGTGGACTTCAACTCCCAGAATTCCTGAGTCATAAAAGAGCCAAGGTTGCCTACCCGTCCTAGACTTACGACCACGATTGAGCCCAAAATGGCGGTTGTTAAGCAAGACATTTGTTCAGTGAGGGTTGCCCCCATTTTGCAACCTTCCTTGCCACAGTTGTTAAGTGAATCCCCGCAGTGGTTAAGTTAGTAACCGTGGTTGTTAAGTGAATCTGGCTTTCTCCATAAACTTTGCTTGTCAGAAGGTCGCAAAAGCGGATCACGTGACCTTGGGACACAGCAACGGTCATAAATACGAGTCAGTTCCCAAGCATCTGAATTTTGATCACCTGATCATGGGAATGCTGCAAAGGTCATAAGTGTTAAAACATGGTCCTAAGTCACATTTTTCAGTGGCATTGTAACTTTGAACGGTCACTAAACAAATTGTTGTAAATCGAGGACAAGCTATACTTTTTAGGCCGGGGTCAAAAGCAGAATGCCTTCTCTTTGTTTTATTCTGATGCGATCCCCAACAGCACATCTTTACTCAGTGATTGCAGGTAGTCCTCTACTTACGATTGCAACAGGGACCAGAATTTTGATCATAAGTCATGATGGTCATAAGTCGAGGCACCCACGTAACCAGACCCAATTTTACAGCCATCTTTATAACAGTCATTAAGTGAATCATGCGGTCCATAAGTCTGGACCCATTCTCCCAAATGGGAGGGGTTTTTGCCAGAAACTGGCAAAAACCATTGCAAATTGTGTTCGTGTGATTGCAGGATGCTGCAATCAGTCGTAAATGGGAGCCAATCACCCAACATCTGAAATATGGTCATGTGACCACAGGGGAAAGCAACATTTCACAATAGCTGAAAGTGCTTTATGGGACCTAAATCCCCCCTTCCAAGGCCATCGTTAACTCCAAACGGGTCATTAAACAATTGGTCGTAAGTCGAGGACTACCTGTATAGGAAATTCTCAAGCAAGTAGTTTTCTTGCTTGCTTACTACCAGCTCTATAAACGATGGGTTGGTTCTCAATATGACAATAGGGACAGCAGTTTCACTTCCACAGAGCCTTTACTTTTTTATTCCTCCCATGTTTTTCAAAAAGAGTGCTGGCCCAGGAAAGGGAGGCTAGAATTCTTACACTGAGGTGATGAAGAGAGAGTCAAGATTTCCCAAAAGTGTGCTTCTATGTGAACAGAACTGCTGAAGCTGAAAGAGAGGATTAGATCAGTGAAATCCCTAATTGTTCTCTGTTATTTAATCTCAAGAGTTCCAGGGTGAGGATTCTGCAAACTAAGAATGCTGTAAGAGGACACTCTGCCTATGTGCGTATCCAGGTTAAGCTTCCACACTGAGGATTCTAGGTTAGTGTCTAGGTGATAAGAAGATCTAACAAGTTTAAATATGGACTCATTTGTTTTTTCTAGGATTCAAAAACACTGGTTGTGGTTCACACCGCAGGCTTAAGCTACTTCCTGCATTATTCCACTTCCTGGGTTCACACAACACATGGAACCATAAACTAGTCAATGGTCTGGGACTGGTTGCACATTTTGCTAAGCCTAACCAAAGACCCATCAAGCTTACCATGTTGCATGAACACATGCACTACGCCTTGGCCTTAGTTAAGCCTGCAGTGTGAAAATAGCACTACAAAGCACTTGTTAGAAAGTCCTTCTTAGTAGATAGTGGTCATAGGTAGCACCAAATGCTATTTGGATAGCTGAAGTTCATCCTTTGTGCAATTAGGCTGACGAGAGACATTCAAGCAGGCCTAGTGGAGTTTCAGAGCTCGGCCAAGTCATTTCTTGGGCAGCCCTTCTCATGACCTATTGTGAGATGCACTTATCATGATATTGGGCAAAGCGTTACGCCGCTTCTTCCAGGAGCCCAGCTCCCGAGAGTATCTCCTTATCTGCCTAAACCAGTGGTGAGTCCGTGCCTTGTCCCCGTCTCGAAATATGAAGGATTCCCGTCTTATCTCAAGCAGTTCAAATGCGTCGTCACAATTGGGATCCACAGAGACCACACAGTTGCTGAGTCTCAAGGGTTCCCTGAGCAAACTGAACTTCCCATTGTTCTTATCCCGAATAAGTACCAATACTGCATCTTTCACAGAGCCTGGCTCCCCCGGTTCAAAACTGGACTCAGATGCACGCCTGATATTGACCATCAGGAGAACTTGCATCTTCTGGAACTTTAACGTCTTGCTGCCCTTTTTCACCCATTGCCCATCAGGTGGCTGGGCCAGCTGCAAGGGTCCTTCCATCACAAACCGTGTTTCTTCCCGCAGCCAGCCCATCGTTTTGAGAGCAGTTTCCCTCATTTCAATATTGATCACCTCCCTGTTCTTCTTACTGTCCTGGCGGAAGGAGCGCAGAGTCCACGAATTCCCTTCCTGCTTGGTTTTCATGTTGATGTGTTCCAGGTGGGACTCGATGCGGCTTTTGGCCTCCAGCAGACTGCTGTAATCTGGGTGGTACTCCATAGTGGCTTTGATGATACGGCTCAGAAGGAGGGGATACTTTGTGACTCTTTGTAGTGGAGCTATGAGGAAGGACCTCAGATTCATGCGACGAAGGACGGTGTTGTCATTCTGCGAAACATTGAGGAATATCCTGCAGACCATGGAAACAATAAATCATAACCTTTTTCATACATACATACATACAAAACCATAGAATAGTGATGGCGAATCTTTTAGAGACCAAATGCCCAAACTGCAAACCAAAACCCATTTATGCATCGTCGGGTGCCGGGTGGGTGTGGCCCATTGGGTGAGCATAGCTGCAGTGGTAACAACAGAATGGGTGGGACTAAAAAGTTCAATCAATCAATTCCAACTTTGCAAGATCTTTTTTTTTCCGTGAAAAGTTGAAATTGACTAATTGATTGAACCTTTTTAGGCGGCAGAGGCCTAAAGCGAAAAGGTTTTATAAAACCCAGCTGAAGGCCTAGGACTGGGGTGACGGTGCACGTGCCCACAGAGAGGGCTCTGAGTGCCGCCTCTGGCAGCATAGGTTCGCCACCACTGCCATAGGAAAACCTGAAGGTGGAGTTAAAAGAGGGATCAGCCTAGAATTCCTATGTAGTCACAAGTGGACTAAGTCCAACCCTCCTTGAATTTCATTGATCCTTATCTAACTCCTAGCCTAGCTAGCAGATGCTTTTTCTACTCATCCTTCTGGATAATCAATCAGCCTATTTCAGGGTTTAATTTGTTATACTGTATTAACTATGCAGCATGGAATAAAAAAAAAAAGTTCTACCCAAAAGCCAAATCTTACTATGAGTCATCTTTAAGGATTGAAATGTCAACCCTACTGATTCACTCCTACCAGAGATGCAAAGAAAACCTATTGAGGCAAATTTCTTCATTTCTGCATAATGGCAGCATAGCAGGCTGGCCCAATTATTATCCAGACTTAGGCAGATGTTTTGGACAAGACAGCTGAATGCAGCATACATTATCATCTTTATCATTGGTAAGTGCTGCCCATTATAACTATGAATGGAAGTTTAATTCTGGGGAATGTAGCATAGATTATGCTGCATCCCCAGAATTAAGCTTCCATTCATAGTTATAATGGGCAACACTTACCAATGATAAAGATTTACTTAATCACAATTTGAATTGCCTTTGTACATGGCAGAGGGCATCCTGTGACTTTACTAGCTTACTAAATTACTATATCAGCTTCCCATGAGGGACTCTGGCAGCCTGCCCCTTTGCACCTCAGCTCCCTATTCTTGTTTTTCTAAAATGTCTCACATATAGACATGAAAATGGAGAAATGTGTAAGGGCCAAGAGCATCTATTTCTTTTCACATCTAACAAATGGAGAAGAGATCATCCATGTTAAGAAAAGAAGCTAAAATGCACTAGTTGGGTAGAGTCCTCAAAGTTTAGGATCATGTTATGGGTTAGATAAGGTTTGCTGGAGCCAACTGAACTCATGCCACTGAGCCCATCCCTAGGGACTGCTTCTAAAGGCCCAGTAGAATAACAATACCGAAAACTACGGCAGATTAAATATCGAAACGGTCATTACAATTTTATTTCCAGAACTTTATAAACATACTCTATTCCACTTTCTTTCAAATGTATTTTTTTTGCTTCTTGTTCCATCTGAAAATAATTGTAACTATTAAATATAACCATTCAAACATTAGCTTTCTGAATTTCCTAAATCTGATTTATCCAATTGGTAGCCGAGGACTAGTTTTCTAACACTTATGAGTTTTGTAGCTGCTAACTAATTCCAAGGGAATGCAAATGTAGATTTTATTATCAAGTCATACTTTGGGCAAGAATTTGTATTTCCAAGAGAACATACTAAATTCCTAATCGTAGTCTTACATCTCCTTTCTAACTATCAAATATTTAGATTGGGGGGGGGAGGGCTTCACAGAAGATGGACATTTTCTTCAAGAATCCACTTTGCTGTACTTACACATTTCTACTTCAGGAGTAATGAATTAAAATAAAATCTTAGGGTGGCTCAATAGTTTCAGTTACTCTCTTCATGTTTAGCAAAGTAACAGAATCTATCTTAGAGACTTTCACTGTACCTCTGAGTCAGGGTTGACTCAAAGTGTTGACTAGTCCCTGCCATTTGCTTAGCATGATTTTCTGAATTGCTTTGTCATTGCCTTCTTCATGGGCTGAGAGAGAGGGATTGATTCAAGACCACCCAGCTGGCTCAGGGCCTAAGGTGGGACTAGAACTCATGGCTTCCCAGTTTCTAACCTGAACCATTACAGGTAGTCCTTGACTTACAACAGTCCATTTAGTGACCGTTCAAAGTTCAACAGCACTGAAACAAGAGACTTATGACTATTTTTCACACTTACGACCATTGCAGCATTCCCATGGTCATGTGATGAAAATTCAGACACTTGGCAACTGGCATGTATTTATGGCGGTTGCAATGTCCTGGAGTCATGTGATCACCTTTTGTGACCTTCTGACATGCAAAGTCAATGGAGAAGCCAACTTAACAACTGAAGTAGTTCACTTAATAAATCTGGCAAAAAGCTCACAAAATGAGGTAAAATTCACTTAACAATTGTCTTGCTTAGCAACAGAAATTTTGGGCTCATTTGTGGTCATAAGTTGAAGACTACCTGTGACTTAGGGAAACCAACAAGGGAGTAAAGCCAGTTCATTATTCCAGTTGCCAACATTTCTCTGTTGGTACAAGCTCAGAAGCATCTGTTCCTCAGCTCTAGTCAACAATAGTTTCTCTGGAAAACCTCATCAGTTATTCATTCCCCAAAGCATAATTGTTTCCAAGCATGTTTTCTGTTCTTGAACCTCCTGCTCACATGTTACCTAGTTAAAATTTGGAACCCTCCTCACCTGAGTAATTCTTTTTCTTTTTCCAATGCATTGAGCATGTTCACGGAGGATGGCTGCTGCAGACAATATGTCTGGAATGCAGGCAGCATGTTCACAAACTCCAGGAATATTTCACCAATGCACACAGTCATGAGGTCATCATCACCCTGTCAACATAGAAGATGAAGAAGAGAAACAGAAATATTTGAGGTCTTCCAAGTCATCAGCATACTGTATTGTATTGCCGGTTGACTGTAAAATACATATATTCAATGTGATAAACGCCTCAAGGGCAAATTCTTTGCCATATTTTACCTGTATATTAACATTGTTCCTGGAGTCCTTTTTAAATACGATCTATTACAATAAGACAATAGGACAGAGAGCTAAGAAGCAAGGCCTCTTGCTGGTGGGTTCATAACTGCAAAAACGTGTGCCCCATCTTTTCTGTACAGAAATTCAAGAAAGCTTAACACTGTCTGTAATCAGAAATTTTATTTAGCTTTTTAGTAAGAGTTTTGTGAGATACACAAATTTTGTAAACAGCGCAATTTTTGTCTTTCTTTTTTTACTTTTCTATTTGATGATAGGTTACTTTGGGAGGACCAAACTATAAAAGTTGTCTAAGTGTCCTTCAAATAATGAAGGATAAATAATTAATGGGGAGGAGATGGCATTCTTCGACCAGGTGACAAAATTAGTGGTTACAAGACTTCCTACTATATCACCAGACCTTTGGGCCATCTCATTCAGGGTTGTTCAGTTATAAGAAATTTCTCAGTTATAAAAAAAATAAAAAATGAATTTTTCAGCTTTACCCAGAGTGGCCAGGAATCAAGCAAGTATAAAATTTGGCTATAGCCTGAACTATGGCCTTTCTCTGACCATCTGTCTATCTGGATCGGTACCATTTATTCCAGAAGACAAAGAACCTGTGCTCCTTCAGCTGTTGATAAGCTACAGCTCCCACGATCCCTCATGATTAGCCATATTAATTGTTTTGCCAAGGCTTGCAGTTTAACAGTGCTTGAAGGCTGCAAGTTCCTTGCCCTACCCAACTCAGTTTGGCCAGCAATTCTCCCAATTTTATAGAGAGGCCACCTGTCGCTTAAAAATTAAAGCAGAGCTTTGTATGCCTGGGACATTCGGTATGGGGGGGGGAAGTGCAATAACTGTGTACTAATATTAAATGAAAGCTCTTCCCCAAAGTGATTGCCAGTCTTAAAATAATAATCTCTGTCTCATCTGGCTTTTGAGGTTAACCAGTAAAGCTTTCAGACTGACATAACGTTTTAAGAAATGCCTTTCCAATCCATTATAAATAACCTTGAATGCCTTCAGGAAAGTTGGACAATCTGCAGGGTGGTTTGAGTAATACTTAAGAAATTAACTACCATAATGTTTATTCATTCATTCATTAACTGTTGGCAAAGCTAAGATTCTTTTAATTATTCACTCGGAGGCAAACACTACTGCATTGGGATGATGCAGTGAAAATGAATTTCTGTATTACAGGTGGTCCTTGACTTAAGACTATAGTTGGGACCAGAATTTCTGTTGTTAAGGGTGGTTGTTAAGTGAGTCATGTCCAATCTTATTACCTTTTTCTGCTGCAATTATTAGCTGAATCATTGCAATTGTTACGAGAATCGTGCAGTTATTAGCTGAATCTGACTCCCCCCCCATTGTCTTTGTCAGAATCTGGTTGGGAAGGTCACAGAGGATGATCAAATGATTTTGGGATGGTGCAACTATCATACATACATATATGCCATTTGCCAAGCACCCAAATTTTAATCAGTTGACTGTGGGGATGCCACTTCTAAGAGTGAGGAACACTTTATCAGTGCTGATAAACTGGTCACTAAACAAATGGTTGTAAGTTGAGAACTGGTTACCTTTCAGAGGCAATAATGAACTACAAAATATAAACAGGCAGTCTTTACATTAAATTAGCTTTACATTAAATTAGAAGGTATCGCGGCTTGTTAACATCATTTACCTTCAGCCAAAAGAAATGCTTGTATTTGTAATTGATGGCAGATGTCACAGCGCAACGGGTTTACTGAAGTTTTGGGCAATGAAGGTGGACTTCATAGGGAAGAACACCCACTCAGTTAACTAAATTGGGAGCTTCTTCATGTGCCTCTCCTAGATAGATGAGCAGGAAGGATTCTGGGATACATTGATGCAACCAAATATCGGGAGGGCACCTTCTCAGAATTCTGAAGTTCTCAATTCATCGGATGTCAACAAGACAATGAAGAAGCAGCTCGGACACAGTAAGTCTTAAGTGTTACAAACTAGCATGCTTCAGAAACAAATAAGAAACAATTCAACTGTTGCAAACGGAAAGGGAAATGCGATTTGAAGTCACACACTACCTGCTCAAAAGACTGATCAATCTCTTCTTGAAGATACTCCAGAAAGTTTTCATTGAGGTCAATTAGCTCCTGGATATTGCTAAAAACCACCAACAGTTGTTCTTGTGTTAGGAGGCCAGCTGCTTGCATGGGGAGATAGAATTCCTCCTTGATGATGCGTAGGTCTTCCCCATAACTAGCTTCAGTGTTGACAAATTCCAACACTGATTCTTTCCGTTCTGTCCTGCACTTCAGGCACTTCTCACAGAGAATGCCCTGTTTCCTGTTTTGATTCTGGACATCTGTTTCCAATGGAAAATCTCTGCCACCACAGTCAGTGCAAGGTTGATGGGTTTCCCAGGCCTGTAGAGAGGTTAACGTTTCTGATGCCCGGTTCTTCCACTTCCTACCCAACACCTGGCTGATACCACTATCTGCCCGCTCCATTTTGGATGACCTAATCCTTGGCACCCCTCCAACGGTGGTGTCAGCATTGTCTCTCTCCTCATTCCCGCCTGCAATTCCACTATCTGCACTGAGACTGCTAACGTTGCTCCAGCGGTGCTTGGAACGAAAAGAGCTGCTCTGGACATGGTGATTCTCATCAACATAATTGACAGTGGCTTTAGTCAGTGGTGGACCTGAGCAGAGAAACAAAAAGAATGGACATCATGCCTAGCAATAAAAAGGTTCTCCTGTAATGATACAGCGTTATTTTCACTAGAATCTTGTAAATCATCTGACCAATTCTGCTCAGAAACTAAGCAAAATTTGGACCAGTTTACTAATTTGGAGGGAACACCAGCAGGAAATTCTAAGACTGTAAGATAAATTAGGAAGTTGAAAACAATTCTCAAAATAAGGAAACCATATGCGGCTATCAAGAAAACTGCAAAGATCTGTCCATGGATTCACCAGGAGTCAAGTTCAACCTAAGAGTATCTCTACTGTTATTATTAAGTAGAAGAAATATATACATATGTATGTATGTATGTATGTATGTATGTATGTATGTATGTATGTATGTGTATATATATATATATATATATATATATATATATATATATATATATATATATCATTTTATCTCTAGCTAATGTAAGTCACTAACATCATTTCCTAAGAAAATTAAATGAACTATGAAAGTTGGGTAGGAGAATCAGCCATTATTAAACTAAATACATTCTAGTAGTTATGTGGCTTGATAAAGGATTATCAATATATGCAGTTAAAAAACTTAACACAACAAAAAACACCATGAAACTCCTAACAGATAAGCATCCATGGCTGGGGGGTCATACGGTGCTTGTGGATCACAAATTCTTCAAGTCAATTACTTTTACATTCAAAAAATACATTCCAATTCTAAACAACGCCTCTGTTCTTAATTTGACTTCTAAGAAAGAAAAGTCTCATTCGCTGCATGGCTTGGTTTTATGTTTGAAAGAATTTTCCTCTTCCTTATCCTAGCCCAGGGGTAGGCAACCTTGGCTCTTTTATGACTCGTGGACTTCAACTCCCAGAATTCCTGAGCCAGCATGGCTCAGCTTGGAAACCTCTCCCTTCTCCCTCAGCATGGCTGGCTCAGGAATTCTGGGAGTTGAAGTCCACGAGTCATAAAAGAGCCAAGGTTGCCTACCCCTGTCTTAGTAAGTGGACTTCTTAATTTGCTCCAGAGGTTCCTGCAGGACCAGTTGTTTCAGGTTTGTCTCTTGTTCTGTATAAGATTAAATGCTAGATTAATGCCTGATACTGTGATGGCATTATCTTCCCTTTCCAATTACTGCACTAAGAGCAACTTCAGAACATGCCTAGTCTAAGATATCTGCTTATTAGAGCAGCGGTCTCTAAACTTGGCAACTTGGCTGGCTGGAGAATTCTGAGAGTTGAAGTCCACCAATTCACCAAGTTTGGAGACCCCTGATCTATTCTAGAGGGTTTGTCATAAAGGGCAGGAAGTAATGACAAATCCATTGCACCTGTGCTCTTCTTTCTCTTGTAGACCCTACAGCAAATGTCAGCAAGGCAATGCTCTAAATAGTATGTGTGAACCCATAAAATTAAATGTAAAACTTTTTCCTTTAAAAGTGCAACATTTCATTAGATCATGAAACTTTAGTGTTCTTGCCTGTGACCTCATGAGAGATGAGTTGAGCAGCTGGTGACAGATCGACAACAGTATAAAATGATTTGCTATTATCTTTTTCAGGTGTTTCTTCAAGTTCCCAGGTTAGGCTATAATTCTGGATTTCAATAGTCTCCAGCCCAAATATTAATCAGATGCTAATTAATGGTTTTTGATCTTTGAAAACTATTAGGTTTTCAAGATCAACCAATGCTGCCATCTAGGCAGGACAACCCATTATAAAAAAGGAGACAAAGACAGGGGATTTACTGGATTCTCTCTCTTGCCGGCGCTTCTGGGCATGGTGTCGGGCTACTGCAGCTATCTTCAACTCCAGCTGTTTCCTCTTTACGGCATCTGTTGGCATTGGATCACTGAAATGAGGCCGTAGCCGGCACTCCCGCTGAACTTTGGCGCAGACCGGGGTTTCGTAGGAGATGTCAGAACTTGATCTGCGGCAATTTGAGCTGGAGCTCTGGAAGGTTAAAAAAAAAGTGGATTCAGAAGAAAGTTTTACACAAGATAGCCAAATATACGTTAACAGGGATGCGCACAGCAAGTTAATATTTGTCAGATTCACCAAACATGCATCTGTCCCTTGTGTGGATCTGTTCAATGTTGTAATGTGGTCACAGCGGCAGAAGAGTTTGCATGATAGTACTGCAGCAGATATTTCTTCATTTGCTTCTCGGTGACCCTATGGCAGCAGTGTATATAAGAAACCACAACCATATCAAAGCGACGACACCTGCATCATGATGTCATTGCTCAAAGGACGCCAGTTAGTACTTGCGTCACAGAATCTAATGCAAGTGCCTAAGTTGCATCATTCAAATCACGACGCATCCTTTTTTATTTGAGACCCTCGGCCCAAGCCACTTAACTTACTGTGGATTGATGACAGTCTTCCACAAAAGTGTGATCTGCTTTCTGAATTTCAAAGGACTTGGGGGAAGGGAGATCAAGGGCAATTTCACCAGTGCAGCTATGAGAAAAGGGACAAAATCCAATTAATACTATTCGCAAAATAGGGCTTAAAATAGTTTGGAAGATGCAGCTGATTTACATTCAACTAATTAACTGTCCCAGGAACAAATAGTTACATTTAAAATGCAAATCTATTTGTACTGACTAATGAAAGAGAGAATGCTTCATCTCATTCCTGTATAGCAGTGTTTCCCAAACTTGACAATTTTAAGGCATGAGGACTTCAACTCCCAGAATTCCACAGCCAGCAACGCTGGCTGTGGAATTCTGGGAGTTGAAGTCCACATGCCTTAAAATTGTCAAGTTTGGGAAACACTGCTGTATAGGTTATTCAAACAAGGTACCTCTGGTGATAAGGCTAATTGAAATTATGGTAATTTGAAAAAGGTAAACTCCTTCAGATAGAATGGTAATAAACTCATATTCTCTTTCTTTGTTATGCTGGGATAACAGGGTTTTATTTATCCTGAGAAAGAAGAAAACCTTCTGTTGCATCGTCACAAAGTGCTCCCTAAATCATGAGATGTCACATATAATTTCTCATCCATAAATTATGAGCAAATAGTGTAGCAAGACCCAAGGCACGGAAGACTGAGAGTTAAGAGTGAGGAACCGCTCCGCTTAGAACCGCAAAAATCATATGAGTGCTTAGTAAATATTCAGTTTTTACATTAGATTTAGATTTTTAAAATCTTTACTATTATTTTTCTATATAACTCAAGGCAGCAGGCTTGCCTAATATTTGTTCGCCCTCCTATTTCCCCACAACAATCGCCTGTGAGGTGAGTTGGGCTGAGAGAGAGTGACCGGCACAAGGTTCCCCCAGCTGGCTTTCTTGCCTAAGGCGGGACTAGAACTCAGAGTCCCCGGATTCCTAGCATGGGGTCTTAATCTCTGCCCCACACTGTCTCAATTCATATTCATATCTTTATTCAATAAATATTGAAGGTTTTTCCTGATGTTAGACGTGTATCCTTTATACTGATTTATTAATAGGATTCAGAGATATCATTCCTTTCTGCAAACATGTTTGGAATAAGAGATTTTTTTAAAATTTGAGGTCAAATAACTAGATGCTGTTATTTATTTATTTATTTATGAGACTTATATACCACTTTAAGTGCAAGCACTCTCTAAGCGGTGTACACCAGTAAGCAATGTATATATATATATATATTTACATTGCCCCCAACAATCTGGGTCCTCATTTTACCTACCCCGGAAGGATGGAAGGCTGAGTCAACCTTGAGCCGGTGAGATTTGAACCGCTGACCTGCTGAACAGGCAGCTAAAGTGGCCTGCAGTACTGCAGTCTAACTGCTGCGCCACCTCGGCTCATCTTGTTGTAGAATGATACCCTCTATCTCTATAGAGCAATGGTTCTTAACCTTTTTAATGCCGTGACCCCCAACCGGTCGTTAAGTCGAGGACTACTCAACCGGTCGTAAGTCGAGGACTACTCAACTGGTGCAGCACCGTTTGCAGAATGGGACTTTTGGCGGGCTCAGCAGGGCAGAGACAGCCTGGACAATTCCTATTGCTTTTGAAAGCCAATAGAATTAGACTCTATTCAAGAGAGTCTATTCTATTGGCTTTCAAAAGCCAATAGAATAAAAGGGAAAGGGGGAAAAAATGGCGGACTGCGTTGTTTGGCGACCCCCGTGAAATGGTCGTTCGACCCCAAATGGGGTCCCGACCCACAGGTTGAGAACCACTGGTATAGAGTATTTTAATCATTATCATGCAGATCTTCACACACTGAGTATTCAATGTGCCCTAAAATATTGCCAACGCTGAATCATTTATATGTAGTCCTCAACTTACGATCACAATGGAGTTCAAAATTCTTGTTACTAAGCAAGACAGTTTTTAAGAGAGTTGTTAAGTGATTTTCATGGCCTTTTTTGCCACAGTTGTTAAGTGAATCATGCAGTCGTTAAGTGAATCTGGCTTCCCCCATTGACGCTGCTTGTCAGAAGCCAGCTGGGAAGGTTACAAATGGTGATCACATGACCCCAGGACAGTGCACCTGTCATAAATACATGCAAAGCACCCAAGTTTTGATCATGTGACCTTGATAATACTGCAATGGTTGTTAAGTATGAAAATTGCTCATGCCGCTTTTTTCAGTGTTGTTGTAACTTCGAATGATCACTAAACGAATTGTTGTAAGTCAAGGACTTAATAGAAGTCAAGGATCCACTGCAAAGAATGCTTATTTTATTTACAGAAGACCCATAAAAGAGCCTTGTTGTAAATACTACCATTGTGCTAGAATTGTACAATACAAAGCAAAATGATAAAGCAATCTACAAAAAGTAGAAAAAATACTGTATTCTAATTTCATAATTTAGTAAATTAAATATTTTGAAATCCTTATACGGAATCATAGAATCATAGGCCTGGAAGGGATCTTGGAGGTCTTCTAGTCCACCCCCCATTGCCCAAAGCAGGAGTCTTTATTCCATCCTGGACAAATGGCTGTCCAATCTTCTCTTGAAAACCTCCAGTGATAGAGCACCCACAACTCTGGGAGGCAAACAGTTCCACTGATTTAAAATAATGTATGTATAGATATATCTGCAACTCATTTGGGGATCTGCTGGGAGCAGATTTAAGTATATTTAAAATGAATACACTTAAATAATTAATTGTGACTATCTCAGATCTCTTTCATTCCAAAAGATCCACTACAGACTTGAGCCCGTATCACTGTTATTTTTGAAAGCATTTTGTATGAAACTTATAATATCAGGGGTATTATCTCCCACATGCAAGCAGAAGAGTAGAGCCAAAAGACACGTCAATCTTGAAAGATAAAGATCTTCACAAAGTCAGGAAGGCAAAACATGTGGCTTATATATACCCCTGATTAGTTGAATCTGGCATATAAACTGCTGTGTCGCTCATGGAAACCTGCTTAGCCTTTCAATAAATTGGATTTGGAAGAAAGACCTCTTTTATAGATCTTAATTGCTGAGAAAACACACATATGAGGCAGTGTTCCTTGAGAGAATAAAAATATCTGCCCTTTCAAACTGCAAACATAATCTCCCCTTGTGCCTGGAAATAAGCTGGCTTCCAATGAAGTCATCCAACATACTTAGCCAGGGGGTCTTCAAACTTGGCCCTTTTATGACTTGTGAACTTCAACTCCCAGAATTCCTCAGCCAGCATGCCTGGCTGAGGAATTCTGGGAGTTGAAGTCCACAAGTCATAAAAGGGCCACATTTGAAGACCCCCTGTACTTAGCCAACAGAGGACTTGTGCCTAGATTCTAGAAGGTTATTCAATGCTGTAGCACAAAAGTAGGTAACTAAAGCACCAAAACCTTTTATTATTGAAGATGATTCTTGAAGTCCAGAGCACTTACAAGAAATCTGTTAGACCAAAATAGCATCTGCAGACAAATAAAGAATGCCCAAGAGAGGAAGTGCTTTTAGTTTTAGTGGGTGGGAGTGTGTTTGGGGATTATGTGTGTGGTACCTGGTCTTTGGGTGTCAAGTAAATTTCATTGTATGTGTACACTGTGTATTCAGATACAATGACAATAAAGTTTATTTATTTTATTTTTTAGTTAATTAATTATACAGGATTTTTTTCTGCATTTGAATAAATCTGTCTGCTTCTGTGTTCAAGCATGTGCCTATATATGTGTGTTTGTGTATGTGTGTATACACACACACACATATACATACACACGCATATATATGCACAATTCCATTTTGAATGGATCCTGGTTCACTCATGTCTGCATATTATTTCTTATTGTATTACATCAGTTAACTTCCGGCCAAATATTTTTTTCATCTATTCTCTCATCTTCTATTAGATCACCAAATGTTGTAACTGAACAAGGAAATTGATGACTTCTGGATGAGGAAAAAAATAAATAAAGTTAGACACACAATCTGGCATGGGATCAGTTTAGGAGGGTGCTAATTGGAAAAAAAGCTGGGGTGATTATAAATGAACTAATGCATGGCTCTTATTATATGAAAGCATTGCAAGTGTCTTCTATATAGCAGAAAACATAGCTCTCAGAAAACTGTCTTATCTATCAAATCTATCCTAGATTTTGTTTTTTGTTGCAATGGTCCATCCCTGTCCTTTATTTATTTACATAATCTTCTGCGGTCCTTTCTCTACCAACCAGATTTTGCCCTGGAAGCACATTTCTGTTTAATTGGCCCAACATTTAAAAGTACTTTATCTCTTGTGCATTCTTCATATGTCACTACCACGATGGTCCAGCAAATGCATTTAAATGCTCTTGATTTCATGCATTATCAGCCCTGGCCAATAAGATCAGTAGCAAGAATTCATCAGAACTCTGTTTCAAAGCTGTTCAGACTGGGCATTTCTATAACTGAGAATGTCAGTCATTTTCTATACCCACTTTCTCTGTGATCATAAAATAAATGGCTATTTTTACCTTTTTTGTGTAACAAAGTCAAGTTGCTTGAGTCCAATACACTTTTTGCCTGAACTCTTCTTTTTTCAACCATCTTCCTGATAACCCTAATATATCTTTCCTCATTCCTTTGTATATGTGATAGTCCATATTCAGTGTTTCTCAACCTTGACCATTTTAAGGCATGTGGGCTTCAACTCCCAGAATTCCACAGCCAGCGTTGCTGGCTGTGGAATTCTGGGAGTTGAAGTCCACATGCCTTAAAATGGTCAAGGTTGAGAAACATTGAATAGATACACTGATAGATAGCAGTGTTCCAATATTTGAAGGGCTGTCACAGAGAAGAGGGTGACAGCCTATTTTCCAAAGCATCTGAAGGCCAGACAAGGAACAATGGATGGAAACTGATCAAGGAGAGATTCAACCTAGAAATAAGGATAAATTTTCTGACAGAACCATCAACCAATGGAACAGCTTGCTTTCAGAAGTTGTAGATGCTTCATCACTGGAGGCTTTCAAGAAGAGACTGGACAGCCACTTGTCAGAAATGATATAGGGTCTTCTGCTCGAACGGGGTTGGACTAGATGACCTACAAGCTCCCTTCCAACTCTATTACTCTAAGTTTAACAGTGCTAAAAGAGAATCTGAATCGATCTGGAATGAGAAAGAAAAAAGAAAAAAATACAAAGTGCAAAACAAAAAGGGAAAAAAGGAGAAAAAAACAAAAAGAACAAACAATGTTTAAAGAAGTGACTCCTGATCTTGCAAAAAGTGCGGGCAAATTTAACATTCCCCCCATAAGATTACATGCACAAGTCTCTTCTTCCCATAAAATATTGTTTTCAAAAAGATAAGAGCATTGCATATCATATTTTTTTTAATCTTAATATCAAGTTTTTAATCTTAAGATGCTTAAAAATGCCAAAATAGTTCATGAAATCTTCCCATTTGCTTCTATGTTACATAAATGAATGCTAACTGAAATGTAGTCAGTCCAGTCATATAATATGGATTTATATTATGGTTGTCTTCACACAATCGCTAAACCAAAATATAAGTTGTTTTATTTTGGGAAAGCACAATATATGATTTCAGCCGCTTTGGCTTATATATCCTGACAATGGTTTAGGATTATGTATGGAATAGACCATAATGGGCTGTTTAACAAACCACAGTTTAAAATGCAATGTGAGTAAAATAGCCAGTAAGACAATGCACACAAGTACCTGGTACTGCCGGCAGATTTCAAACAATTTCTATGCCTCATGTATGTTACTAAAGTGAACTCAACACTTTCACCTTTTTAAAAATATAATATTATTGAAAGTTTTAAAAACAAGAGTAAAAATTAGTACAAACTAAAATAAAGTAAGGAACAAGAGGGCGAAAAGAGAGCTGCCCAGAGTCACTTTGGACAGTAAGATGGGCAACATACAGAATGAATGAATGGAAATAAAAGAGGAAATGAACATGCATAAAGAAAAAAGGAAAGAAAAATGTTATTGAAGCACAAAGATGGAAACATATGGATATATCTACAACAGAGGAATGGTTGGTGAAGATGATAGAACTTGCTGAGATGGCCAAATTGACCTATTTGCAGGGCTTTTTTTCTCATAGAACACCCAGAACGGAGTTCCGGCATCTTTTTTGGATGGAACCTTGTAGGGTAGGCAAGGCGGGTTGTATGACGTATGTGAGTTTCAGCACCTTTTTTTTTTTTTTTTTTTACAAAAAAACCCACTGCCTATTTGATTAGAGAAAAGACGATATCTACATTTAATGATGACTGGAAACCCTTTATGGACTTTTTGGGTAAAACAGAAGAAATTATGATCTATGGTTTTAAGAATTAGATAGCATAGATTATTAAAAAAAGAGAATCACAATGTAACTTTAGAGAAAGAGGCACATCTACACTTGTATTTATGCTTACTGTAAAGAAGATCAGAACCTACAACTTTGTATCTTTTTCCTTTCCTTTCTATTTTTCTAAGATTTCCAACATTGCAATTGTTTCTGTCTTTATCAAAAGACCAAGAGTGAAGCCTGAGAATGTTTTAACTCCCAAATCTAGCAACAATCTAGCTGCTTAAGTATTACCTCCAATTCTGTAACCCACAAAAATGCAGTTGATTGTTAACACTGGTTAAGACTGTAATAAAGCCATATTTATAAAGTGACTTATTTTTGCTAGCCATAGCTAAGATCTACTACATTCCAGGGTTTAAATAGCAACTGATATGTTAACTGTCATGTTGACGGACAGGAAGAGGACAGGGAGAAGCTAGGCTCTTTTACAGTGTTCAGTTATAGTGTGGCACCACATCAGCAGAATGAAAAAGCAAAAGCCAGAATGAAGTCCATTCTCTTTGTTATGTGTACTGCACGCAATACACATACAAGTAGCAGGGCTTTGACTGCCAGGTCATATTCCCCTTGGCATTTTTTATCTCCCCCCCCCCGTCCCCACTCCATGGAGACCTCTGCATTATATGCCAACATAGGTCATGAGCATTCATAGGACAGAGTCATGTAATAAAATCCAGTTACTTCAACTTGCTCAGATAAAATCAATAAATTCACAGAGGAAAAGATCTAATCCCGCCTTTACTCTTTCCCCTCAATTATGAGGGAAATCCTTCCTGCATCAGATAAAGATTGGGTTCACAAATTGTCTAAGCTTAATGTATATTAAGCACGAATGCTAAGCCAAAAGCTGAGGTTTACACACCACGCTAAACTTGGTTTGGCATGAAGTGTGAAATAAGCCACAAGAATATGGTGCAAAATTCTCGTTGAAGCACAACTTGAAACTGTTTCTTTGAAACAAAAACATTGTTTTGTTCTATAGTATAAATTCACATAATGCCAACCCTACTTCTTGGGTTGAAGTTATATGATTATCTCAGAAGAAACTTCCCAATAGCCTAGACCAGGGGTAGGCAACCTTGGCTCTTTTATGACTCGTGGACTTTAACTCCCAGAATTCCTAACACCACAAACAAATTATTTTTCATTGCCTCAAATGCTTGCTTTTGAATGGTGTTGGCTCACAAGTCCAATAGCCATTGATCTGGGACTAATGGTTTGGTAATCCAGTAGAGCCGATGATGGACAAACATATATGATCCAGTTCATTGCTTGGGACTGCATGGTTGAACAATATGTTTTTGTAATTGTGGTTGAATGAGGGAGCATGAAGTAAGGTCTTGAGTTTTCTCCATAGCATATGATGGTATTGCATGCTGGGAAGAAGGCCACAGTTAAATACCTAAGCCACGCTGGCTCGGGAATTCTGGGAGTTGAAGTCCACAAGTCATAAAAGAGCCAAGATTGCCTACCCCTGGCCTAGATTAAGGATGCTACCCAGGACATCAATTTTCACACTAGTCGAAACCGATCTACAGTACTTCACCTCTATAGCATACAAATATTAGAAATTACTAAGTTCCCTCGGACCTAACTTTCTTCAAGATCTCTAGCAGAAATGATTACCTCTTTTTAATGAGGTCCAGAGCAGTACCTATAAATTCATCCTTCATTTTCTGAAGCTTAGCTCCATAACTGGAGATATCAGTTGCGTCTAACAGCAGCGGGCAGCAAGACGATGGAGTTTCGGGCACCAGAGATTGTCCAGTGCAGTGGAGGTTTTCGCTGATGTTTTTTGCATCCAATCCTTGCTTTTCTCCTTCCACAAAATCTTTCTTGCCCTCCTTCTTAAATGCTGCAGCAGGTTGCAGAGGTGATCTTGGAACTGGGCTAGAACAAATGGGAACTGGCACAGTTTCTGATGATGCTGGGACTTCGGAAATCTTATCCCTGGCCATAGGGATATTTATTAGGCAGAAACTTCTGTCCCACGTGGATGAATTTTCTTCACAGCCAATAAACCTGGAAGCATTCTGGCTGTTTTCATGAAACACCTCATCGTCAACATCATCATCATCATCTGTGACTGAAACCACTTCTTTAACATGATCCTGTTTTTGACTTCTTTTTTCCTCCAACTTTTGGGTTCCTTCTGTTTTATCCTTCACAATTTCACTATTGCCATTGAGAAAAAGGGCTGCCTTGCTTCTCATCCTCTTGAACTCTTCAAAAGTTGGAATGTAGAGTCTCTCTTTGCAATCAGCTTTCCTGCTCTCTTCTAGAGTCCTTTTGCAGTCTCCCCTCTCTCCATCTCCATTTAATGATCCCATAGTTTGGGATTTGATCACTTTCTGACTATCAAGGGCACAATGCAGGGTCAAGTTGGGGGAGCTGTTCTGCCTCCTGATCTGCAGCCTTCTCTGGGCTTCTTGCTTGATGTCTTCTGGGCTGGCTAGCCTGCTGTAGAAACAAGGCCGTTGCTTCCCTAATGCCACCCATGGGGCATGAGCAAGAGTGGCATGCTGCACAAATATGGTGCAACAGTTAGGGGAGCAGCCATTCTTATACTGCTGGCAGGCCCGGCATTGAGAACGTTCCCTTGCAGCCGAATCGTTCAAAGAAGGCTGAGCTCTGAGTGGCTTGCAAATCTCAGGAGCTTTACTACTGTGAATTCTAAGTTTTTCTTTTAGGATTTTTTTGGCATCCCCACTTATGGAGGAAAGAAACCACGGAGGCACTTTGGCATAAGAGGAAATGGCTATATCTGGTGCTGAAGGGATCCCTTGACCTGATGGAAGGGAGAAGTGTCGGTAACGTTCAGGTGAACTGGGAGTAAGGGAATCTTCCATGGAATACCTGGAACAGGAGGCTGTGCCTTTGCAATGAAAGATGAGTTTATTGTCTACATTTCCACAGTGGGGGAGGCAGTTTGGATCAGCTACCGTGGCCCAGTGTAGATTCTCCATGCTCTGATACAGATGTGTTCCTGCATTATTGCCTCCTTTATTTACAGGATTAAGGTCTCCAGTGAAAATACGAGTGTCCATGTTCTTTAAGGGCTGCATGTTGCTAACTGAGAACTCCTTGAAGCCATGTTGCACGTACAGCTGATTATTCTGGCAGCTCAAAATCACCCGAGAGTGTTCCTGCCTCTCATCAGCGCTGATGTATGTCATAGCAAATCGACATGGGTGACTGGACGGATGGATGATTTGAGAAGGGGAGGGCAAAAGGATGAATGGGCTGTCAGACCCTTCAGTCGATGTTCAGAGGTCCTGGCCACGGACAGCAGAAGGCTGCTATCCAGGCGCTCACATTAAAGAGCAGGGATTTCTCCAGAGTCATGACTGCAAATCATCAAGCAGAAGAGAAACCTGATCAAACAAAAGAGAGAGAGAGAGAGAGAAAAAAGGCTGGTTATTAAGTGAATGTGGCTTCCCCACTGACCTCTTGTCAGAAAGTTGCAAAATGTGATCACACGACCTCAGGACACCACAATTGTCATAAATATGAGCCAGTTGCCAAGTGTCCAGGTTTTGATCCCATGACCATGAGTATGTTACAACGATCCTCAGTGTGAGAAATGGTCATAAATCACTTCTTTTTCAGTGCTGTTGTCACTTCGAACAGTCACTAAATGAATGGTTGTAAGTCAAGGACTACCTGTATAGCAATCAAGAGCAAATGTATTAGGAAACCCAAGTTTTATACATCTTCAAAAGAAGGGAGTTCTTTAGTAAAGATAACACCATTAGAAGCTCCTTAGTTTGGGAGTGTTTGCCTTGGTATCATTTCTTTTTCTTTCCCTCACGTAAGGGAATGGTTGCTATTTATTCCTATAATAAAAAGTATCAAACTACTACTCTTTGACACAGTACGACGGTTTGAATCAAATTTGCCTTCTCATCACTACTACTGGGTAGCATAACCATAACAGAAGAATCTGAGAAGCGAGTGATGATCTTTTGGAAGGAAATCGGGAATGGCATGGGAAGAAGATAGTAGACTTCTGATGCTTCCCCTTCATGCAAAGCTAGAATGTAACAAAAAGAAAAGAAATACATAAACGACTTCATCACAGGTACAAACAAATTTAGCGATTCTTCATTCCTTCTAAGTTTACAAACATTTATCTTTTCACCCCATTTCCCATCAATTACCTATCAACAAATCCATAAAATGTAGCATGGCCAATTGTAGTGAAAGAACATCTTAAGAACATCTACTACTATCCTAGACCATGGTGCCAAAATCTCGGCACCTTTCTTGTGTCCTACTGTACAACTTCATTGAAAATACACAGATACCAAACCTTAGTGTAATGTAGCATTATTACATTCAAGCACAATGCTACAACTAATAGAATCACTACATCACTACATCTGATTAATGTGTACATATTATGTACAAGGGTAACAATTCCTCCGCATACAGTAAAAGCGTTCCTGGGTAAACTAAGAATCATTGCCTTTTGAGACTGATTGGAGTCACTCTTCAGAGTTAACCGGAAAAGCACTGCTGACCATATCTAATGTGTGTAATTAATGTGCTGATACTTTTTCAAGATCTTTCTGTAATCAGTCTACCACCTCAATCTAATCATCATCCCATCTGGAATGGCTTATTTTCCGACACTTGGTTTTATTCATTATTTCTCCTGTTCTGTTTGGAGAAGATCACAGGTAGTGGCGAAAAAGGATTTCTTGTGCGATCAAAGGTTACAACATGTTCTGCCGTGAACGAGTGAATAAAGAACAGCATGAGAGCAGACTTAGCAAGAAATCGTGATGATGCAGCTCAGAAGAGCAACATCCCAGAAATGATGCAAAAAGAAGGGAAAGGAAAAGCAAGTATTCTCGGAGAACATTTACAGCATAATTTTAGGCATGTTCACATGGAAGATCATGTTCAAGAAGGCTTAGTCTAAAAAAGCATCTGCTGAATTATAGCCATCGGAGCAACTCCATGGATTCTTTTCCTATGATCTGAACAGTAATTTTCCACTCCCCGAGTACAATTTTAAAGACATGCATTTGCATTCACCTATACTCCAGGTTCACATCATGTTCATGATAATAAATAAAACATGTTTTGGGGAAAAAGGGGTAGTAGCATTGTCACATGTATTTGTCATTAGATACTGTCCACAGATACACTCAACACTAAAATAAATAAATGGACTTTTCTGAAATCAACATAACACCATCTAGACAATCTGTATATTCCCCTTTCCCAGACAGCATGCATCATCATCCCCAAAATGTATAATCATTTTGAGAGCAGTGATATTGTATTCCTTGGCTAATTTTAAAACAATAATTGAGTTCACATGCAACAATAAGCCTAGAATCCTGGAATAATCAACAGCAATAATATGAATGATCAAAGAATGAATTATAGGTAATCCTTGTTTAGTGGCCACCTCTGACAGCTATCTATCTATCTATCTATCTATCTATCTATCTATCTATCTATCTATCTATCTATCTATCTATCTATCTATCTATCTATCCTCTCTCTCTCTCTCTCTCTCTCTCATTTATTAAGGCAGGATTTATGGTTTACTTTTACATTTACTTTTTAAAAACCCACTTTGCCTCCCTCTTAAACACTAATGGAATTCAGAAGGAGGTTAAGAGCTTTGTCATTAGTTAGGAATCCCCTCCCTCATTGGTACTGTCAATACTTGTATCTATATAATTTCATATCCAATGAAGCAAACTGAATATATTCGGATATAGATAGAGCATATGTATATACAGTATCTAGTTCATATTTTGCCTAACTAACTTCTAACTAAATGTTGGTAACATGCAAGCCAAATTATGCTTTCCAGTTTGTTAAGACTGACCTTTCCAACACAATGAACCACAATGATTCAGATTGAAGAATGAAGCTAGATACTAATGTATCTGTACATCTTATTTGGCAATGCTATTTGAGGATACTAAATCAAGCAGATTCTTCAGTTCAGTACAAGCCATGATCTGTCAACAATTCCTCACATACCGTGTATTAAAAAAATTGGCAAATATCTATGTGACAGAACAAATGGACACAAATCTGGCACCAGCAAGTACCCTATTCAAACTCCCCAGGACATCTGTCTTGGGAGAAGGAATTACAAAAAGTGATTACATCCCTAAACAGCTAAGCTCAAATTCATTAGAAAAGATGGCACAATTTCCCATGGATTAAACATAGATCAAGACTTATCAAACTGAATATGTTCACTCTATTCAGGGCTCAAATGTCTCTGTTACACCCAACTGCTACCTACCTTCTCATCTTTTCCTTCACTATTTCTGCCTCCCACAACAACACAAATTATCCCTTTTGCAGAATACTAAACTAGAACTTGTTCTTTTATTGTTTTTTGAAGATGTTATAGAACTCTGGGATGTTTTTGTTGGGATAATCTGACATAGCTACTGCCTTGGAAGAAAGAATTTTTGATACAGCATATATTTGTTGTCAATACATATTGATATGTATTTGTTATCAATAAGTCTTTGTGTCTCTAACATTTTTTATCATTTTTCTACCCCTCAACCTTTCCTATTCAAAATAGTTCTCTCTCAAAATTGCATTCCATATATCCAATTAAAGCAACCGTAAGTCACAAATGCTTCTGAGATAATAAAGACTTCAGGTCACTAAGGGAAAATTAGTTGCATTTGTTTGTATTCAAATCCAGATGTAGCCAATTTTCATTGTCAACAAAGCCAAAAATCTCCTTGTCTGAAAGTTCATTTTCTTCTACCAATAGGGCTATTGCATGATCAAAGAGCACTTCACACTGCTGTTCACCGGAATCAATCCATACATTTAGCTGTGGTCCATCAAGTGCTGAAGACTCACATAGGGTAGGTGTACCTTCAACAGGCTACATTTTTTAAAAAAAGAAAATATTTATCAAATTTAAAACCTGCTTATCTCCTAGAGGGCCTCTGGATGGTAAACAAATAAAATTTTAAAAACATAAAAAACGAATATAAAAAAATTAAAATGGAGGCAAGGACAGTTAAAATTCAACATTAAAAGCTAATTACAAAGTGGAAGGGAAGACCTTCAAGGCTGCATGTTCCTCTTGAGCTTCAAGCAAGATGGTAGAGCCAGGTCTTTAGATATTTTCAAAAGGCCAGGAGAGTGGAGGCCTATCTCACCTCTGGGAGGAGAATATTCCACAGGGCACGGGCAATGGCAGAAATGGCTCTCTTCCTGGACTCTGCCAGTCGGAATTCTTAAACTGATGGGGTCCACAATATGCCTTCCCTGCCTAAGTGGGCGGGACGGGCTGATGTAATGCGGCAAAGACAATTCCATAGGTAACCTGGCCCCATGCCATGTAGGGTTTTACAGGTAATAACCTTGAATTGAACCCAGAAGAAAACCGGAGCCCAACGCAACTCACGTAGCAGAGTATTAAATTAAAAAAAATTGTTGTATTTTATATCCTTAAAAAACTGTTAAAACTGTTTTTCAGGGCAAGTGATATAAGGAACATTTAAAATTAAGCTGTTCAAAAGAATCAATTAATGAAACAGAAAGGCTTTTTTCGATGAATTACACAAACCTGTAATTTTAGCCCACACAACTCTACTTACTGAGAGGTCTGTTTTGAGGGATTATAAACTGCCCAGGAAAAATTAGAACCATCAGTAAGATGAAATCAGAAAGAAAGATCTGACTATTTCAGTACACTTTGGGAAGGACCATACCAAGCAAGGGAGCAGCCAATTTTAATACAGATCTCATCTGTCATGGACTTAAGTCATAGAGGCATCACAAAAGACAAGTTGCTGCTTTTTAAACGCAAGGTAAGCTGTTCATTCTAACTTTGCAAGGCAGATAGAAATTAGCAGATGTGATATTTGATCCTGGAGAAATGTAATTCATAAGACTCTTGGAGGGAAATTAGCCCACCAAGCTTAACAGAAAACTGTCAGGAGTGCCTAGTTAGTACTTTTCCATTTCATTTCACACCTTTGCCTGGCCATCCCCCCTTTCTGCTATTTTTCACTGAGCCTTTGCTAAAGTGGTGCAGACCCAAGGGAGTCATGGGGGAAAGGGCTGTATACTACAGCACATTGCCTCCTTCCCCATCTTACTTCCTGGAATAATAGCTCCCAATTAGCGGAGAACAAAGCACCTTGTGACTTATGACATAATGCCAATTATGACTCTAGGGAGCAGAATCTATGAAGCGGAGGCCACAGGGAATGGGTTTGCTTCAGCACAGAATGATAGCAGACAGATAAATTGAGTGGAGTTTCCCATCTCCCTAATACCCACAATTGAAGCACTTCAAATCTCAGCAGTAAATTGGCAGTGAGTTGGCATCACATTAGAACATCCAGCAGGGAGTCTGTCT